AAAGGACAAAAAAAAATTAAAAGAGAATTCCAAATATAGAACACACACTTTTTGTACACCATGTACAAAACCATCTTTTGTATGCACTGTTAAGTGGAAAACCTGGTTATCTTGTTTATTGACGTTTCTTGCTGTTAGATAATAAAAGGCACAAATTGGTTTGGTCAGAACAATGTGTAAGACAGAGGAGTAGAATCAGTTTGCAGTAATTTCATCCATATTAAGTATGAAAAGTAGAGTCACCATTGTCCTAGAAGATCATAGGTTGCTCTCTCATTATAGAGAGAGATGCCTGGTGGTGAGTTTAACCTGAGGGTCTCCACAACTCAGGTCAGGGGCAACATTGAGAAGCTGGGATTTTCATGGTAACCTCAGCTGGTACAGGAATTGAACCTGCCCTGTTGGTGTCACTCTGCAGAGCAATCCAGCCATCCAGCCACCTGAGCTAACTGACCTCCAGTGTTAAGTACAGACTGTTTCAGATACAATAATGTAACTGTTACATAAGGTTTGTAATTCCATTATGCACATTAAATGGAAGAGATTGGCAGTAAGAAAGCTGTTCCATTTTGCATTCCATTCACTTAAAGTAAATTCAGCTGTGAAAAACCTTTGGACTCTTCCATTAAATTTAAAAAGAGTTTCACTAAACAACATAGCAGTTGAAGTAAGCGTTCCCTGTGGTTATGGCCATGAATCCCAGGCTGGTCTTAACACTGATCTGATAATTGTATATGTGATTTGATTAACTTCTTGTCTAAAGCTAAACATGTCACCTCAGATGAGAGTAAACTTGGGGTAGAGAATAAAGAACTAATGCTTCATCATTGCTTCCAATAAATTGAAACATGAAGTTGTTGATGGTGAGATCAACTTCTATGGGTTTCTGCCCTGATGTTTTACTAAATAATTAGGCAGAATTGGGCAGGGAAAATGTTAAAAAGAACTGGAGAATATGTACATTATTAAAAAATAACAAGCCAGTCTAGTGCTAGACTCTACTGATATCTAAGTGCAGACCAAGCCAATGAATCTACATATTCTAGAAATGGGGGAGAAGATTTTCTATTTATGTTATGCAAATACATTTATGAAAAACTTGGTGGCAATTTTATTGTACAAAGTGGAAATCTTCCTCATGGAGCATTGAGAATTCCATGTTGCTGAGTGATATAATTAGTTATTTAATTTTAAGTAATTAAAACATTAAGACATTAAGACATGACTGCTTTATTTCAGAATTTGTTTTGCCTCTTGCGGTGGTAATATAATGGAGTAAAATTTATAAGAAGAGAAAAATCAAATACTATTGTTAGGTTATTGTCACTCCTTTCAAAACCTATTCTGATCAAATCATTTTTTCCATTGATCAAAAGCTGCATTAAATTTTGTTAATGTATAGGGGACATTAAGACTGCTGTGTATCACTGAGCAGACGTAATATCTAAATAGATGGACTGTGGAATTTTAGTCGCACATTTTTGCAGGTCCCATTAGAAAGTATTTAATACTGATGTCAATTGATTAAGTGCTAAAAGAATTTGTTTTGGAGTTTAAATATATGTTGTTGCAACTGTGGTACATGTAGACTATCATATTTTGACAACCCATCATCTGATTTCATAGACATTAAAATGTTATTTTAAAAAGGGAACAATACTGACCTTAAATGGTTGCTGCGATCACAGGACCACAGACTGACGCAAGCCTAGGAGACAAATGTGGAATAAGCGAAACTGAAATTACCACTTTATCTTTGAACATTGAAACCTGGCAACTGAGTCAGCATCAAGGAATTCAAATTTCTTGTTTTAATTCACGTTTACATGATAATTTCACATTTCGGGAGATGAAAGGCTCACCTGTCACTTAGCCAACTTAGAAAGACAATGGAGCCAGATTTGGGAATATACAAACAAACTGTGTTTCAATATCTGCTTTGCAGGGTAGAGCAGAGCAGAGAGAAGGAAAATTTACTTTGTAAGAATAAGGCCTGGAAATCTTTCTCTGCTTCCTATTTCTCTCAATCTTGTACACAATACTTTGCAAAAAAGTCATTTGAAGAACCAACCATTTGCCAAGAACTCAAAAAATGTCTATATATTTTGCCATTGCTGAAGAAATAAGTCAACAATTAAACGTCTATGGTCTCAGGTTAAAATGTAACACCTAAAGGACTCTAAAAACCTTTAAATTGCTAGCCCTTATTCTTCCTGTTTAGTTTTTAAATGTATCACCTGTGTTTGCATGCATATTGCATTTTTAAATTATTGTTTTGTTGCATTAAGAGATGATAAAATTTCCCTTTCTTTCATTCAAGAAAACATTGTAATTGACATCTTAATTTTGACAAGTATGACTATTTAGTTGAAGTATGTGTGTTAGAATGAAATAAAAATATTTGTTAAAATGAATGAGAGGGGTTTGAGAAAGGGAAAGCTGACCAGCCTTCCTCATCTGGTCATAACAATGTAGTTGGATGGCTATAGCTCTAAAATCAAATTTCACATTCTCAGCTTTTAATGATGTCACCTACGCTTTCTATCCTTGCTAATATTCATATTTGAATACATTGTCCCATCAGGCAAGAAGCTTCCAATTATTCTTTTAATCTGTTCTAATCTAAATCTCAACTCAGAACATAAAATTTAAAGGATTATATTTGCTTCAGTATAGGCTCAATCAGCCTTTAGATGTTTTATTTGCAAATTTATGAAACCATTCTGGTGAAAGGAGTGGAGAAATTACTGCAAGGTGAATCCCATATATGCTGTTAATATAATTTGTTTTTTATTAGCCTGTTTTTCGAACCAACCTGTTCAGAGATGTTATTAAACACCTCTGGAGTAGATGGGACTTGAACCCAAGCCTTTCTGATCAATGGCAGGGACACTACCACTGCATCACAAGAGGGCCCTGAATTAATCAGCTTTGAGCCTGGCTAAAGAATTTTCAGGTGTGAAAAATCCAATGCAATCAATTAGCATTTGGAAGTAGCGGTAAAGTATGAATTGCTAGCAGTAATGAAAATAAGACATGTTTATGTTAATGATTTAGTGATAAGGATCCTTTCATCCTGATGCCTCATGTAAGTGTCATTGAAGGCATTTGTAGATCAGTTTAAAGATACAATAAAGAAACTATGAGATGGAGGATGCGTGTTCCAAATTTAAGATGACAATTTAATCAGTGTTTGATCAATACCGATGTAATGGGTAATTTAGTGCTTCAGGATTAGGCCAGTTGTATGTGGCATTAACATTCAGACTGTTTAGCTTAAAAATAAAACAAAAGTATCTTGTAGTGAATATAATTACAACACAATTGAATATTGTACAGCAAATCGATTATAGTGTGTTACAAATCTGTTCCCCAAATCATCCCCATCTAAGTAAGTAATACATAACTGTTCTAAATGAAAGTTAATAAAGCAAATAACTTCACTACAAGTAATTGTAAGTCAATGAAACACCAAGAATTTTGGTAAATCTAAAGCTTGCAGTAAGGACTTGTTTGTTTAAAAAAGCTATGTGTAAAATCAAATTAATTTCTTTAAAAAATGATTTTATGCCATTATCTTAGTGTCATATACCAGTAATAGACTGAGGCATCTGTCCAGGGGGAAGAAATCACTGTTCACTGATTAATTCCATTTGGCAACAGTTCCTAGACTCCAATAAGTTGAATTTAATGCCAGTTGGAGTTGTGCAGAAAGGACACATTCTCAGTAGATGGCATGTGTGTAGAAAAGAGTCAATAAGAAGGAATTTCATTGCATGTTAAGACAGTACCACTGTATTAAGTACTAACTGCAGAGGTGTAAAGCCATATGGAGTAGTTATCTAGATGTTCATCCTGAATGTATTCCTTTGTGGTTGTAGTGCATGTTCTGATGAGTTTTATACTGACATGAAGGTTGGAGGGTTGATATTGAGGTTCTCTATTTAAAAGTTAAGTCTCATAAGAGACATTAGTGGAGAGGACTGCATGAAATGCTTTCAAAGATTTTAGGAGTGCGCAGCCCTTTGAGAACTTAAGCACTGTTTTGATCTTCCAACATTGGTTAGAAATACTTGTATGTGCAATCCTTGGTCCACAGGTTGTTCCATTTTATGTCCATCAGCTAACATTTAATAAAAGTCTCAGTGTGAGGTCCATTACTGAAATTTTGATCTTATGTTATAAAATAAGACAAGATTTCCAGTTAATTGGCAAGCTATGCTATGCTTTTAAAACTGGAATTATCTGCAATCTCCAGCATGTTCTGGATGTCTGCTGATTAAACTTGTCATTTCAATTTCAAAAAGTGTACATTTCTAAATATGTTTCCTGGCAGTCTTGTACACTAGTTAAAAATTTATTCTGATGCTTGCAGACACTGAACAGAAGAATGTTTTGGAATAAGCAACCCTATAACCACAGAATTACCCTTCATTTTCTAATCTGTTCACAGTTCGTTGTTTGAAGATTGCACTGAACAGTGACAAGCCTCAGCATCCTTCTTATGAATTAGTAAACACAATGCTGCCATTCTGTAACTGTGATATCTTTACTGAGCCTATTCCTGTTACTTTGTTCATAATAACCAATATGCTTTAGCAAGTTGAACCCTCGCATATCTTACTGTTACTCAACCTTGCAGTTTCCTCAAAACTCCAGCCAATCCAGCTGATAGTACTAATTGCTTGAATTGATAGATATTTGCTTCAGGTTAAGTTTAAAAATTGTGTAACAGCAATACCACTCACAGCACATATTTTGTAACTGATTTCCTTGTAGAATTTTGCATAAATTGCAATGTTGGCGGCTGGTTGTGTATTTTGAGGAAATCAGGAAGACTTTTTGTGTTATGCACTTTGGGTCACTTAAATCAAATTGACCTTATTTTGCTTTTTTATAGCCTAAAGAAGTGCTTTCGTTTCTTCTGTTCATTTCTGAAAGTCTAAAAGCAGGGTGTTTTTTTTAGCAGAGCTATATTAGTCCCTTTTTAGTAATATGTACTATAAGATTGCAGGTATTGGAGTCGGTGAGCTGGATTCTTTTGGCGCATATTTGGAGAAGAAAGGTAGAAAGACTGCAAGCATGACTCCGACGATGGCTAGCATATAACCCCATCCAATCTGACAATCCGCTGCATGATAGATGCTGGAATTTCCGCAATATTTCTGTACAAGGGGTGAGTTCAATCCGAAAGGATAGATCAGAAGCCCAGATGCCATAATAAACACTGCAAAGAGAAAGAACAATTTATTAATTTAGGAACTCAATTGTTCTCATTTCTGGTCCATTAGAAACACAGAGCTCTTTTGTTTAGCATGCTTGTTTATATTTAAATGGATCATTGTACACTGTCTTAAGGGATACTTAGTAAATCTATAGCAGTGCACATTTATTATTTGGTAAGCTGTGATTAGATTAATTATTAATATATCCTCCATAGCAACAACAAAATCTGGAGGAAAGCTTGAGCACAAAGCAACTCCCAAAGAAACACATTGACTCCGACCCAACATCTCAACAACTAGGCCTCAATCTCCCTGGAGCATGTGGACAAACATCTGTAAAATACATGGGCAGTGTAGCCACCTGATATGTAAGTGGTTTCTTAAAACCTTAAAACCTTAAAACCAGGTTTGCTGAGTTTCTCCAGCAATATCTGTTTTCATTTGCGCCTTAAATCCTTGCCTGGCAGATTCTGTGGAAAACTTGATCAAGTCAAGGGGCACATAATTATGCCTTGCTCCTGACTCCAGATTTGAGAGTGACATCCTGCAGTTACACTTGGTCTCCAGCAAGGACTTCAAACTAGTTCTGCAGTGGCTTCCCAAACCTGGCAGCTTAAGGGAGGCAGCAACACCTGGATCCAGTACTTTGGAGCTTTTGGAGCATTGCTTATGAGCCTGTGGAAGCAGGAATGCTTCAATCCTCTTGACGCTCCAGCAAAGTCTTCTGCCGCAATAGGGTTATCCAACTCATGAATTCCACCCACCTCCCTGTTTCTAGCTTCACATCCCCCTTAGTTAAATAGAACATAGAACATAGAACAGTACAGCACAGAATGGCCCCTTTGGCCCGCGATGTTATGCCGAACATGACACCAAATGAAACTAAACCCTTCTGCCTGCCCTTGGTCCACAGCATTCCATTCCTTGTATATTCATGTGCTTATGTAAAAATTCCTTAAATGCCCCTATCGTATCTGCCTCCACCACCATCCCTGGCAGCGCATTCCAGACTCCAACCGCTCTCTGTGTAAAAAACTTGCCCCTCACATCTTTGAACTTCCCCGTCTCACCTTAAATGCATGCCCCCTAGTATCAGACTCTTCAATTCACTGTAAAACATTCTGACCGTTAATCCTATCAATGCAGCTCATAATTTTACAAACTTCTCTAAGTCCTCCCCTCAGCCTCCGTCACTCAAGAGAAAACAACCCGAGTTTTTCTAGTCTCTCCTTATAGCTCATACCCTCTAATCCAGACAGCATCTTGGTAAACCTCTTCTGCACCCTCTCCAAAGCCTCCACATCCTTCCTGTAATGTGGCAACCAGAATTGGACACAATACTCTAAGTGTGGCCTTACCAAAGTCTTATAATGCTGCAACATGATTTCCAGACTCTTTTACTCAATTCCTCCAATAAAGGCAAGCATGCCATATGCCTTCTTTATCACCCTATCTACTTGCATGGCCACTTTCAGGGACCTATGGACTTGAAACCCAAAATCCCTCTGTACATCAGTGCTGTTCAGAGTCCTGCCATTAACTGTATACTTTTCCTTAACATTTGATTTCACAAAGTGCAGCGCCTCTCACTTACCATTTCTCTGCTCATATCTGCAACTGATCTATATCCTGCTGTATTCTTTGACAACCTTCTACACTATCCACAATTCCACCGTCTGCAAACTTACTAACCCACCCAGCTACATTTTCATCCAAGTCATTTACATATATCACAAACAACAGAGGTCCCATTATGGATCCCTGTGGAACACCGCTAGTCATGGACCTCCAGCCTGAAAAGCACCCTTCTACCACTACCCTCTGACTTCAATGGCCAGCTAACTCTGAATTCACACAGCTAAGTCACCATGGATCCCATGCATCTTAATCTTCTGGATGAGCTTATCATGAGGGACCTTCTCAAAAGCCTTACTAAAATCCATGTAAACAACATCCACTGCTCTACCGTCATTGATCACCTGCGTCACCTCCTCAAAAACATTCAATCAAGTTAGTGAGACATGACCTGCCCTGCACAAAGCCAAGCTGACTGTCTCTAAATAGGCCATGCTTTTCCAAATGTATGAAAATCCTATCCCTAAGAATTCTCTCCACTAGCCTCCCAACCACCAATATAAGACTCACTGGTCTATAGTTTCCTGGATTATCCCTATTTCCCTTCTTGAGCAGAGGAGGGACATTAGCTACTCGCCAGTCCTCCAGACCGTCTTAAATGTCTAGCGAGGATAGAAAGATCTTGGTCAAGGCCCCAGTAACCTCCTGTCTTGCCTCTCTCAATAACCTGGGGTAGTTTCCATCAGGCCCTGGGGACTTATCTACCTTAATGCTCTTCAAAAGACCCAACACCACTTCTTTCTTGATCTCAAAATGCCTTAGCATATTAGTATGCTCCACACAATCTCACTATCTTCAATATTTTTCTCCTGGGTGAATACTGATGCAAAGTACTCATTTAGGATCTCACCCACATCCTCTGCCTCCAAGCAGAAGCTCCCCCTTTTATCCTTGAGCAGTCCTACCTGCCCCTAGTTATCCTCTTGTTTTAATGTACCTATAGGATGCCTTGGGATTCTTTTTAACCCTACTTTCCAAGGTCATTTTATGGTCCTTTCTTGCTCTCCTAATTCCCTGTTTGTGTACCTTCCTGCTTTCCTAATGTTCCTCTTGGGCCTTGTCCGAGTTTAGCTTCCTAGACCTTATATTTGCTTCTTTTTCCCTTTTGACTAAATTCACAACCTCCCTTGTTACCCAAGGATCCCCTACTTTGCCAATCTTGTCCTTCCTCCTTAACTGGAATGTGCCGGTCTTGAACTCTCATCAGCAGGTCTTTAAACAACTCCCACATGTCAAATGTGGACTTGCCTGACAACAGCTCCTCCCAATTAACATGCCCTAGCTCCTGCCTAATACTGGTGTAATTTGCCTTCCCCCAGTTTTGCACTTTCCCACAAGGTCCTGACTTATCCTTACTCATAGCTATTTTAAAACTGAAGGAGTTATGATCACTGTCTCCAAAATGCTCTCCCACTGAAAGGTCAGTCACCTGGCCAGACTCATTAGTCAATACAAGGTCCAGTATGGCCCCTCGTCTAGTTGGACTATCCATATACCGTTTCAAAAAACCCTCTTTAATTCCTCCTCAGTCCACCCCCTCGACCGCCAGTCTGACACACCTGCCAGCCCATGTTCTGGTCTCTGCTTCCTCTCGATTGATCACCATAGATCATAGAATCCCTACAGTGTGGAAACAGGCCATTTGGCCCATCGAATATACACTGACCCTCTGAAGAGCATCTCATCCAGACTCAACCCCTTTCCCAGACACTATGGGCAATTTAAGCATAGCCAACCCACCTAGCCTGCACAACTTTGGACTGTGGGAGGAAAGCAGAGCACCGGGCGGAAACCCACACAGACACAGGGAGAATGTGCAAACTCCACACACACAGTCACCTGAGGGTGAGAATCAAACCCAGGTCCCTAGAGCTGTGAGGCAGCAGTGCTAACCACTGAGCCACCATGCCGCCCTAAATTCAAATTTAACCATTTGCCATGGCAGGATTTGAACCCATGTCCCCGGAACATTGTCTGTGTCTCTGGATTAACAGTGCACTGATAATACCACTAGGCCATCACCTGGGTTCTTACCCTGATATTTTTATGTGCTGTTTCCATCAATAGTCCCTGGCTACAATCTCCCACCCTTCGCAATCCCACACTGATGGTCAGTGTCAATCTGGCTGGCTACTAGCTACTAAAATAGAATTCTGTTTTTTAAGAGTGATAATGAGAATTTGCCATTTGGCAGAACCTTTCCTTTTAATGCATTTCAAAGTTTACCCTGTTTTACAAATCTCAGAGACCAATCAATGGGGCCTGACTGCCATAATCCTGAGCATTGCTCTGGAATGATTAGGTGCATTGATCTGTATTTTCAACAATAAACTATTATAGCTGCTCAAAATTGAAATAGTGAAATTTCTGCTTCCCACATAAATAGCCTCGGGTACACAATCTTGTGCCTTTATTTTGGTTGCATCTATGTCAAAGAGGCTACACAGAATAAAAGCACTTCAGTACCACTTATAATGATGGAACTGAACAAAACAGGAGTGTTTCAATCTGCAATTGCTCAGTTAGCTAAAAGCAGATCATAGCCTTTTATTAAATAATAGTTGAGTGTCATCTAACCAGCCAGCAGAATCTACAACTAAGCAAGATCCTATTACTTCTGAGAAAGCAGTGTTTGGCAAAGAGTATAGTTGGCAGACAAAGGCAGAAGCTGGAAAAAATTAGAAAACACTTGAAAGCATTAGAAGGCAACTTCTTAATTGGATTAGGTTCGAGTGCTTTCTGATTCCTGAACCTTCCTATCAAGCCACATGTTTCTTGGTCAAGATATTGCATTCTTACAGCAGTGGGGGTTTTGCGTAGAATAGAATGACCATACCAGGCCGACTGTACTCCACTGGGATATTAAGAGTGAGATGTCTAGCTGACTGACTGTTCATCCAACCCCAAGATATGCTGTCACAGAGCCTATCAGCCAGGCCTCTGCAGCAGACGGCTCAGGACAGACTCCATACTCCAGGCAAGGTTTTGATTTCTGCAAAAGACATCAAATAAATTTCTGCTCCACACATTCTCTTCTTAAAAGGAGGAAGTACTACAGAATTTTTTTACACTAGAGTCTCCTTTTAATAGTTCAGAGCAGGTTTAATGAAGTTGCAGTGTTAGGACCTCAGGCGCTACAAGACTGAATTTTAACCCTGACTCCCTGCATCTGACAGAGGTGCTGTTATACTCTGTGCCTCTGTTTTGTGCCTTCAGGATTGCCCTACAATTTAGTTGTTTTTGGCGTAGGAGGCTTAATCTCCATCAATCATTGCTCTCTGCCAAGCAATCTCCAAAGAAACAGACAACACAAGACTTTTAAGTTCAGTGTCATTTCCCCCCTTGCTGACTCCCATGTGACGGTAAT